CAACAAAATCGTGTGTGATTGGTTATAATGCGCAACGCTGTACAAACGCCTAAAATGAAATATGGTGCAACATGAGCAGATCTTCATTTAATGCCAAAATTGACACTTTCTATTCATTTTCATTTCGTTAGCAACAGTCGTAATAGATTTAATTTGTTTGTGCAGGGGCATTTTTGTCCAATTTAGTGGCATGTTTGCCCCAACTCGCTGTGGCCAGGGGACGGCTAAGCCCCAACCTTACACACGCTCTGCTTATGATTTAACACTAATGCGGGCTTGTGAAACACATTCCTTTGGCCTTATTTCCAGCTTGCCAGAGCACCTGAGATGGTTGCCATGGTTTCCTTGTCACATATGTTCTGATGATGCAGATCAAGTAGCTGTTGAAATGATCTTCAGATTCATGTGCACCTTTGGATGATTCCATCCAGGAAGGCATTTCACTGGACGCACAAACATGCATGTGAATGTGTATTCAAGACATCATGCATCATATATAAATAAATATATACCAGGCCAAGATTGAATGAAGCTCTGAAGGTGTCGTTCTCTAGAGGACTAAAGCGTTAGTGTTCAAACTCTCAGACGCAGCAGGCGCTGATAAAGCTGGACAGTTTGGTCGCAGTGTGTGCAAACACAGTGTAACAGTGGCGAGAGGGGGTGTGATTGCAGGCTGTCTCTTCGGCTGTGCTCCAGTGGCACGACCGTGTTTCTAAATGCAAAAAAATAGGTTTGTTTAAGAATAAAATACTAATTGATGAAATGAAGCCTGCAATTTGCGTGAATGCATGAACATCCTATGTTGTTCTCTAATGAAGACTAATAAGATTCATTGTCCTAATTAAAATGACAATTAATAATTTATTCTCATAGATTGCTTCTGTGAATAGTACTGTACAACATAATGATCCCTTGTTAAGCATGGTGTGGTTTGAGCCCAAGAAATGAATAACGCATTCAAATTATAACATGACATAAATAAAAAAACTAAAAAAAAAAAAAAACTAATGCAGTGACCAGGGCATTAGTACATTTAAATACACTAATAATACACACGACATTGTTAACATAACATCAAATACATAAGACATTTTTAATCCCTCAGTGTGACCTTTGACCTGTTCTCATAATTCTGTATGACTGTCCTCTCCATGTTATATGCAATTGTGTGTGTGTGTGTGCGCGCATGAATTAAAAGTGGCTGATGGTGATATACCAAATATTTAATAAATATTTACTGTAGTGCGTAGATTCTACTACTTTTTATTATTATTTTTTCTCTAAAAACAATTTGTAAAGGGTTATATTTTTATTTGAAGTAAAAACAAACATTATTTCCTCGTAATTTAATGTTTCATTAGCATTTAGGGCAAAAAAGGAAAAATGTGTAACTAGGTGTGAGGTGTCAGATGCAGACAGACGCTGTTATGGTGTTACATTTTACTGCCTTTATTGGCAACTCAAACAATTATATGCAAAATTCTTAATTGCGTAAAATATCACACCCTTCTCATCTGCTACTACAGTAATCATCACAACAATATTAACCTTTTGGTAATTCATATTAGTAAGAGTCTGCTTAAAGAAACTGTTTTATTCACTTGGATAAGAGGCGAAGAGTCTTAGGCTAATAAAAAGACATGTTCAGATGAACATGATATGAAAACACACACAAAAAACGACAAGTTCATAAAAAAATATTTGATACAGTGGTGGCCAAAATGATTAGAACACTAGTATTTTCACCAGCTAAAAAATGGTTTTAAGTCAGTTATTTCTATATTTTGCTGTAGTGTGTCAGTAGGAAATATCAATTAACATTTCCAAACATTCATTTTGCCATTAATTGTAATAATCCAGTGAGATTTTTTTCTGACAACAGCCCGTGCTCCACACAGAGATCTGATCTCATCATCATCCAGTGTGTCTGGAATGACATGAAGAAACAGAACAAACTGAGACAGACTCAATCCAGAAGAACTGTGGCAACGTCTCCAAGATGCTTCAAGAAACCTACCTGTATAATTACTTTTTTCGTTTAATATATATATTTTTGAAAGTATAAAGTAATGATACGTGTACAGCAGACCCCAGATATTATCTTTATCCTCTCTAACACTGCCATCTGTTGTTGAAATGTGAAAATTATGCTAGACGCATTAATTCGACTGATCATTTTTAATTTAAATAGCCCACATTCGTTCTTTGGTCACTCCCTTTTAAATCCAAATCCCTTTTTAAACCATTGAAAAAATAGATATACGCCCAAGTGAACATATATCGCTCTTATCCGAGAAATAGCCTTCTACACCTACTGCTATTTACCACATATTGACATAATTCTCGATTTAGATCTCACATACGCCTAAGTACTATTTTAATGCCTTCTTTTCAAGTTTTTTTATGCTTTATTAATTCAATGCCACAAGAACATGAGGTATTACATATTCACATTAGCTGCCAGAGAAAAAACAGAAGAAAAAAAGGAAGACAATTACATAAAGTTCAATGCTTTCAGAGCATTACATGTTTTCAATACTTTTTTAGTTTTTTGTTTGTTCTAAGAGATTTACATATAATTTAAAGTCATTTATAAAATGTGCAAAATGTGGGTTGCATTGAGCCCACTTCTTCTTATGCATATGGAATTGTCCTAACAGAATAAACAAATGTATAATATGTTGTTCTTTACAATTCAATTTTTCGTTTTCTGTATAAAAAAGTACATCAAATTTACACATTTCTATCATACACTCCATTTTTCGGTTGATATAGAATTCCAAATCCTTCCAAAATAATCTCGAGTAAATACAATGAAAAAAAAAAGATGCAAAATAGTTCCTTCTTTTCAAGTTTAATCCATATATCGAACATTAACGCGCATCATCAACCGGAAGTCCACGAGCGCCGCCTCAGCCCCTCCTCTCTCTTCCGCTCAGATGTCCTTGTAGCTATGGAAACTCTTCAGCGGCAGCATCCTCCAGTTTGTCCACCCCGTCGTCTGGACAGCTGAGCTAAATCTGTATGTAAAACATCTCTTCAAAATGGCGACCGGGCGTCAAACGCTTTCCTTGGCGCTCTTTTCATGGCTGTGTGAGTAAGATTTCTTTATTTGCTGTGAATGAGTGTGTAGGTCTTGTTGAATAAGCGGTCGTGGATCCGTGTGATGGCATTCTCGCGCTGACCCCTGCTGCTAACGCTCTACTACCGTTTTTGGCGTAAACACAGTTCGCGGTTTCTAGTAAGATGGGAACGTTAACTTACTCACTGTTAGAGTCATTGGTTTTTATCGCCCAGAGGTGTAATACAACGACCGTGTCTCAAAACCCAGTGAGCTGCCTGCATTGACAGCATTTTTGGGCGCGTTCGAACGTTCTAATATGAACATCCTATATTCGAAGATGCTGTTTAGGTAGGTAGTTCACTAGGGGTTGAGACACAGCTCCAGTTTGTATGCTTCTCATGCTTGTGTGATGTCTGTGTATTAATAGCCTAATTGAGAGTCGTTTTTAATCAGATTACCCTTGTGCAAAAGAAGTGCACTTTAGCATACGTTTTAGCATAAAAGAGAAAAAAAATTACTAACTGAATATAGTTAATTGCATGTTATTTACAATGAAATGAAAATGTATTGTAGATTAAATATATATTAAATGTAATTAGTTCAACTTAAGAATGTTTTTGACTTGTGTCATTTCATAATTATTTCTATTGTTTTTGAAATATAGTGTGTACTGCCAAGCATTTATGGTAAGCTAAAATCTAATGCCATTTCAATTAAAATGTGTATGTTATTAAATATAGTTGTAATTACACATTTGTAATGATGACGATGCAATTGAGTACATTTAAAATATATTGAATATCAAGTACTTTATGTGCTTTAGTACAGTATTATAATATTTAGTGTCAGCAACACATTAAAATAAGTGTACTTAAATCACAACAAAAATCACAAGTATTAAAACATTATAATTTAAAATGTACTTTAAAGTAAAACTTTTAATTTGACATTACAAAGTTCACTTTTTAAAAGTTCAATTATGTGTGTTAAGAAACAGACATGAAAGTGTACTCTTTTTAAGTACACTCTTAAAAATAAAGGTGCTTCAAGAGGTTCTTCAAGCGATGCCATAGAAGAACCATTTTTGGTTCCACAAAGAACCATTCAGTCAAAGGTTCTTTAAAGAACCATCTCTTTCTTACCTTTTTGTAATCTGAAGAACCTTCTTTCGCCACAAAGAAAGGTTCTTTATGGAACCATTTAGACAAAAAGGTTCTTCTATGGCATCGTGAAGCACCTTTATTTTTAAGAGTGTACACTTTTTATTTCAGCAATATTACATTATTAATATAGTTTTCTAAAGAAATATGCTTTTAAGATTTGAAGTACACCATAAGTGCACATTCAGTACACTTAAGCTTACCTCTTTTTCACTAGAAAATCAACTATTTAAGATGAATTATTGTTGAATTATTTCATTGTAGCTGACATGTTATTGGACTCTTCCAGATCTTTTCATTTTCTTCTCAGCACAATGTGCCTCTGTGCAAGTTGTGTGATGTGTGAAGAGGTGTAGCTTCATTCATTCATTTTCAAAGCCGTTGCTGTAGGTCAAAGTGTCCTGAATACCAAACTACTTTAAAATGGGCTCAACTTCAGCCTTCATTTTCACTTTGTCCTGTGACGGGATCTTTGTATATTAGAAAGTGCTGTCAGAACTGTGGAGATGCGATAAAGTATGTCTCAAGCCAAAGATCACACCCTTCTCTCCCACTCTTTCTTTGTGTCACTTTTTAGGTCACTTCTTTGTAAAGTCTGAAATAGCACTTTTAGTTGGACTGTTTGTTATTTGAAATGCTACAACAATCAGCTATTGTCTTGTAAAGTAATTATCCACCAAGTGTGCCATCAAAACAACCATAAACCGGAATCATAATTAACATAAATTAACACAAATATTAAAAAGGGGGCTTTTGTCATGTTGTTTAGTGTGGAAATGCAGAAATGTTGCCATTTGAACGCCAGCAGATCGGACACAGCTCTGTATCGCTGTGAGGTGGCGGCCATCGATGACCAGAAGCCCTTTGATGAAATACTAATCAGTCTCGCTGTAAGAGGTACTGTTGGAATAGTTCCTCTCAGGTTCAGCCAGGGGAACATTCTGTGAGTTTTAATCCATGGTTATAACTCTCAGTAATGTTGCACTGAAATGCCCCATGAGAACAGAACTGATTGGACTGTCCGGACAAAAATGTTTCAGTGGGCTTGAGGGCAGGATGAATACGTTGAGCTGATCATCGTGATTCCTTTGGATGCACAAAAATGTATCTGATTATAATTGGCGATCTTACTGTTTGGGACATAAAGCTGAGAGGGAATTTAATGCCATGCAGTATTAGATGTAATGTGAATGCTGTTTTCCCTTTGCAGTTTTCTTAAACTTTATTTAAAGTTGGACTGAAATGAAAATTCGCCCTGGTTATTTTTCTAAATACATAATGAAACATTGAAAAAAGCTGCTGTTTTGTTGTGGATGTGTTGCAGTGAAGCCGGTGATGCCCAGGTGTAGTGTGCCGGAGGCGGTTACGGTGGGTTCAAGCACTGAACTGCGCTGTATTGAGAACGAAGGCTTTCCTCAGTCACAGTATCAGTGGTTCAAAAGCAACGAAGAGCTGCCAGAAGACCCAAAAACCAGCAGCAAGTTCTACAATTCTTCATACACCATGAACACTGAGACTGGTTCGCTGGTAAGGGATTTGTGCTGACATGCTAGTAAAAACAACTTGTTTTTTTATTTAAATTTCAGAGGCTTAGATTACATTCTGCACCACCATTGTTTTGCAAGGAATTGCAAAAATAATGATTCGTTTTGCTGTGTTTACACTTTTAAAAATAATCTGCCTGTGAATGAATTACATTAATTTTACATTTATTTAAAGCACCAAACTGGAATGGAGAAAGTATTTTAATATTGAAAAAATTGCAAACAGTAGGCTTTAAATGAAATAATAAGAATAAGAAACAATAGGTAAAAAATGCATTTAAGTTATTTTTAAATAAAAATTAGAGGTTTAGATTAAAGGGATAGTTCACCCAAAAATGAAAATTCTGTCATTAATTACTCACCCTCATCATGTCATTCCTAGTCTGGCGTAGCCAGACCTTCACACTGACAGCTGGAATCCATGGCAGCTTTCATTGGCCATTGGCCGTGAGACCGTTTGACCGACATGTCAAACAACCAATCACAGTTCGTTTTCGTTCATCGTCACGTTTTGGGGCGTGGAAATGTCGCCACAATAACAGACCGGTGTGTAAAACTCTAGTATTTTAAAGATTCTATGCCACGAACATTAAAATTTTCACATACTTTTGAAACTCCAGCGTTTAGTTGATCCTGATAAGCGTTCGTCGTCACATTTGTAAACACGACGGCTTTCTTCTTTCGTGAGAGGTTTTGGCGTCACGGCATCTTTGTTTCCAGGCAGAACGTTAAAGAACGCGACACACACGTCTCCCGGAAATCATGTAGAAGTCAACCAATCCGATGACGACTTCGACACTCTTGAAGTGTTTCCACTTTTGTGTCCCAGATGCATCAGGTCCGTGGGCATGACGTCTGAGGCTGAGACTATGTTATTCCAAACCTGTAAGACCTTCGTTCATCTTCGGAACACAAATTAAGATATTTTTTATGCATTCCAAGAGCTCTCTGACCCTCCATAGACAGCAAGGAACACGATCAAGGCCCAGAAACGTAGCAAGGACATCATAAAATAATCCATGTGACATCAGTGGTTCAATCGGCGGCCCGCCCCCCCTGAAGGTCAAGTTAATTTTATTTAATTATATTTTCTCTATAGCGCCAGATCACAACAGAAGTCATTTAAAGTTACCTTTCTTATAGAACATGTCTATACCTTGTTCTTTCATTAAGCAAACTACCTCTGCCGTCTCACTAATGAGGACATAAATACATGAACAACATCTCCAGAACTGCTCTGAGAGTCACTTCATCAGCATTTGACCGTTTCATCTGAGTAAAACTATCATCACATCATACATACACAGAAATGTAATGGTATTCATGGCAACCGGTCAAAATAAAGGTTCGGTTTAACTTGAGGGCATTTGCAGAAATATATTACTGTTGTTGAGTAGAATGTACGTAACAGGCTGCTACTACTACTACTAAAATTATTAAAACCTTATTTTTAAGGAATAAGCATTCAATATTTCTTCAATGTTTTAATTGTAATATTAAATTACCTTTATTTTCCAAAAAATTTAATTTGTTTAATTTTCATTACTTAAAAGATAGATTAAATGAATGTTTTATGCCTTAAAACAAAATGTAAATACACAACACAGAATTTCTGAGCAAAAAATTATAAGGCTATTGTAAGAATAAATGAAACTTGTTTTATGCTTTCAAATTAGACATGCTAAAACAGAATTTGGTTACAATAAAACATAAGGTTGGACAAATAAAACATTTCATAGGGCCCTAAACGTAATATTTGTTAAACTTTTAATAATTTGATGTTAAATTGTTTAAGTTTCATGATTTTAATTAATTAGACATGCTTTTTGATTAATAAAATGTAATTTAACCATTAAAAAGGAGGCCAGAAGCCCCCCCCCCCCCCCAAAGCCGTAAACCTAGGGGAAACACTTCGTTGTTTATGCTTTGATCTGAATGTAAACAACATATCTGCGTACATATGTTGCGAGAAGACGTAATGTTGAATAAAGTCGTTATTTTTTTCTTTGCACACAAAAAGTATTTTCGTAGCTTCGTAAAATTACGGTTGAACCACTGATGTCACATGGACCATTTTAATGATGTCCTTGCTACGTTTCTGAGCCTTGATCGTGTTAGGATCCTTGCTGTCTCTGGGAGGGGCATTATTTTTGTTTTCTTTGGGAGGGTCAGAGAGCTCACAGAATTCATCAAAAATATCTTAATTTGTGTTACGAGGAGGAACGAAGGTCTTGGAACGACATGAGGGTGAGTAATTAATGACAGAATTTTCATTTTTGGGTGAACTATCCCTTTAAGTTATAGGTCTCTGTTGTTTAATAAAAAATTAGAGGCTTAGATTAAGTTATATGTTTGTTTGTTGTTTTTGTGGCCAATTCAATGGATTTTTTGAAAATTATTTAACTTACAGTGGTGTTAAAAAGTGTTGGCCCCCTTCCTGATTTCTTATTTTTTTGCA